GCCAACGCAACGTTCGACATCAACTGCTTTGAAAGTCGTGAAGATGTACTGCGAATGTTCGACGATGGACAGCGGCATGACACTCCGCACAATAGATGGCCGATAGTACCGAATGATCCGGATACTGGGTTTCCAAGACGTCTCCAGAGAGCCGAGGTCGTAGGCATGAGCCGATGGACCGACGACGCGTATGCAGCAGAAGCGTGGCAGATCTATGAATTCCACGCCCACGTTGTTCACCCGATGATGATCACTGCAATCCGCTGCGGGCTTAGCCACAAGTACCTCAAAGAGGTCGGCAGCACTCGGCGTAACATGAGTGATCCAAAGGCTCGAAGGTCTGAGACCCAGGAAGAGATCATCGAGAAACTGGCATTCATCTCAAATTTCATCAGACGCTTGATCAGGAAGACCTTCGGAGCGAGCCGGTATAGTTACTACCAGAAACCAGATGACGAAAATGCCGCTCCATACAAATTCATCGACATTAGTCCCGCCATCAAATCGGAGAGGAAGAATGTCACGAAGGAGATCCTCGTTGCATGCCGCTACTATGGCATAGAGGTATCCGCTATTCAAGCACAGAAATTGAAGTCCTTCGAGGAGCAGATCCGAGCGGGAAACCCAAGGAACGTCGAGCTCATCAAGGACTACATTGGCTTTGTCGGCGCTGACTACATGCGACAACTCACGAATGGTTGAGCATTGGGGTCATACCGACATGCCACTTCCGGTACTTCAAGTACTGAGGGATCTTGGGTAATTCATGATGACCGTTTTGGCATCATGGGAGTGAGATAGGATTGTGTTTCACACCGTTGGTAATCGCATGATACCATAGGTAGGTGCACGTTTTCCGTTTGTAGCTCCATTACCTGTTTGATCCAACTTTCAAGCGAATGCAAGATCTTTTGCTAATTCGATTCAATAGGACATACTGGTTGACCTCCAATACACTTTTGAGAACACGATTCGTTCTCCGGTTTTTACATCCACTCATCTCCCTTCCCCGTCGAAGTACGGATGTGGGGGGTGTCAATAGGGATGAGGTCCCAGTATAGTCGCTATACAGGTACATGCCATACACTTTTGGCTCAAGTGCCCAACCAGGTAAAAAGGAGCTTTAGCGCGCGAGCCTCATGTTGAACTAAAGGCTAGAACGGGGCCAGGGCACACCTTTCCATCCGTTCGCACTTACATAATATATACATATATATATATATATATTCTAAAGGACTTTGACCTGGATGCCATGTATCTTGGGAAGCACCCTTGCACAGCACTTGATTATTTTTTTCGTAGGATAATTTGTTGGACATGACAACAATGATTTTGCAGACGCATATGGAGGTAAGCGATCTTTCAGGAGGCAGGGTTCCTGTATTCCTTTCTCAGCATGGTTCACATCACCCTTGGTGTGTGCATAACGACATGACGGCATTAAATCCTCCAGGAGGTGGTGCGCATCGTGAATACATAGGGAGACATGAGGGGGCATTTTTTGGAAGATTAACCAGGAGCCAGAATTTCTTGACCAGTATTGGGGGGGGAACTTAGTATCACCAAAGTTTCTGTCTGAATCCGCCTGTGCTGTAGGGTTTGGTCCATCAGCGCAAGGAAGGGAGGTCCCCACCAACCTTGCTCGGTGGCAGATGCAGAATGCCGGCCCTTCAAGGGCATTCTCACCTTTAAAGCACCCTCGAATGGATATTACACATGTTAATCGTGTTTCTGCCATCTATTTTGATGATGTGCATGCTGGTGATTCCCAACAGGGCCAAGAAATCGATGTTCGTTTCAAAAACCAGAGGAAGATGGTCTAAGTAAGGAATGGATCGATTTTATGGCATTGACATGTGTTATGTCTGTCTCTCAAGTCGCCAGGTCGAATCTGAGAGCCATCCAACTTCTTCGTCCCAAAGCAGCTGCCTGGGATTCTCATTTGATCGACTAGCGGCTAGCGTAGATACATTTTCAAAAAAAACACGGAAGTGGAGAAGGGACCCTGCGAAGTAGTGCATGGGGCCTTCCAGTGTCCATTCCTCTTTTATGAGGAGTGTCACTGAACTCACGAATGTTTTGGGGGCCAAGTTTCGACTCAATCTCCTAGGTGGGGGGGGCTGATGATGGCTGATGTTCATGGACACCGGATTACTTCGTTTTCTTCAAAGATGGTGATGAAGGATGGTGCCTCTTGGTGTAGCACGGTGTCAAGTTCCGAGCTCCTCCCTTCACGACCTTGGAACCGCGGGTCGATGGGGTCGATGTCTAGTTCTACTCCCTCATCTGTGGGAGAGATGTCAGGGGGGCATTCCATCATGGCTCCAGATGAGTTCAGGGATCGGGGGATGAGGATTCCAGTGCGCCACCTCCGAGAGAGCTGGCCAAATTGGACGAAATGCTCCGACTCAACTCGATGACACTCCCCTAAAAGGGGAAAGGGGTGAGCCAGTTTAGATTATTGGGTTGAAAACATGCGGTGGTAGAGCTGGCTGAAGGTGAAGGTGTTTTCCGAACGGCCTCTTCGTCGGACTTCAGTCTGACGTATGCAACAATTTGGACCACCGCTTTTCACCGTTTTGAAAGAACCAGTTTTGGATCACCCCCAACCACAAGTTCTAGATGTTCTGCGCAACAATTGTTTAGTTCAGGTCCATATTTGGATCTGAGAAGCAACAGAATCGCATCTGGAAAAGGACCGTTGATGTTCTTGAATTCTTCGGCGTTGACAGATTTTGATGCCAGAGTTCAAGGCACTCCCATTTTGCAGCCATTATTCTCAAGGGTTCGGTAAGGAAAGATCAAGCATCACCGGGCCAAAGCTGCAAGAAAAACCTCATCCGATCGATCGGCACAGAAACGATGGGAGCTTCCTCGCACGCCAACCTACCACCCAGGGCTTCGTCGAGACCGGCCTCAACCCCCACGGAATGGCTCCGGCGAAGGATGTCCCATCCAACCACGGTCACTCGATCCAGCCCTTCCGAGCGCCGATCGCGAACGCACAGACCACATGTTCGAACACCGAAGGACACACCGGGCGAAGTGGGTCAGTCGCGAAGCCGGTCAGCCCGAAATGGTTAGAGAGTCCATATAAGTCCATGTTCGAGAGCCAATGGCTCGAGATTGATCTTCACCCTGCCAAGCAAGACAAAAAAGAACACACGACCTGGTCAGTCCGAGCAACCTTGATGCCAAGCTTCAGCGCCTCGAGCTGCTGGAAAGGCCCCGTCTCCCGTCCACTCGTGTGGGATACCCCAAAACCCTGTCGACAGGGCTCATGTCATAGAGGATCAGAGAAGCAGCCATGTAGAAAAAGCAAGGTCTTTGGAGTCTAATGTAGATATTTCGAGTCTAATGTAGACTCTTGATTCTTGATTTATGAACCCCCCGCAATTGAATTGGACATCCTCTTCACTTGGAAGTATGGATCGAATATCAAGCGTCTACCCTGATTTTTGGGCGAGCCGCCTGACCTTCCCTAATCCACTTCTGATGAAGCTCTCTGCTTTTCTTCAGCCGTCATTGTGGTGGAGGCCATGGAGTATTTATCATGTTCTACCATGATGGACCACACCTAGATCTTCCAAGTGTGCAGCATGTCTGCCTTTTGGCTGGTATTTTAGATGAACAGGCAGAGATTCTGCACTTGCCGAAGAAACCGTCACATTCGATTCTTCCGAGGTTGACCCCTTCTTCCACCGGCGATGGGGAAGGTGCAGTCCCGTCGCTCGAAAAGCCAAGAAGTTTGAAGGGGAAGACTGGGGAGGAGGGATCGGGCTTCACGGGAAAAGCAATCATTGACTTGCGCCAGCACAGGCTAATTTAATGGAGGAAGTTGGCACGATGCTCATGACTTGGTGTCCAAGAATCATCAAACAGTATTTAAAAGTATTTTTAAAAACATCCAACACCCCGAAGACAGGGAACTCCTGGGTGCACCAGGAGATCTTTCGCCCAAAACCTGCACAGGATGCCCCTCCAAGCCGCAACGGGACCTCCAAGTCCCCACTCAAAGGCGCGGAGCCCAGGTCGATCGACGTCGGTCTCTTCGGTGTTCTGTGGCCTTTGGCATTATTTGCCATCTATCTGAACAGATTCCGGTGTTTGAGGTATGTTCGAGATCCCGCCATAGAGCATATATATAATAGAACCCCCCCTAAACAGACAGGATCGCCGTGTTTTTTGGGGTTTTTCTTCTTCCCCTCGCCTTGTGGAACACCCGCTCTTCTCCACTCCCTGCGGTCTCCTCCCGAAGGGGATCCAATCGCTCACCGCAGGGAGCGGCTCCCCGGCGGCCACAGCGGCAGCGGCGGAAAAGGCCGCCGCGGAGGGGCGGCCGCCGACACAGGCTGGAGACGGCGGTGAGACGACCGGTGAGACAACCCATGTATGCAATTGTTACCATTCCATGTATGGAATCATTAGGATACAGAATTACATGGGGTAAATGGATGTAATTAAGTATTCCATAGGGCGAACTAGCTGGAAATCGAACACCTTGCGTGATGTGCTGAAGGAGATGTGATACGAGTGCTACTCCTGGAGTTCTTGCGAGCATTTTTTGGTTTGGGGCTTCAAATAGACTTCGGGATGCTTTTGTATGTCAATCCCAAAAAGGAGGTGGACACGTTTTGCATCGTCCAATCCGAGCAAGCACACCCCGGGGAAGAAGACATATTTTGATTGTTTTTTTTTTCCAGATATCCCATGACGATCTCGGAGACAGGACTTCCCTCAGTTGACTTCTAATCGATGCCGCTCTCAAGCCTGTCTACATTCTAACCCAGATCTCTTCAGAGCGGACAAAAGAAGACAGCAGGGACGAAAAGGGTGTTTTTTGGACCGGTTTGGCTCGGTGCTTTGTTCGGCTCGGTTTGGACTCAGGGGTGACCCCTTTTCGACCGGATCCCTGACCGGAACGTCCACCGGAGGTGGTTCCCCCGGCGATCGCGGCCAACCTGGGTCTAGGCGAGGGAGTCAGAGGGAGAGGGCGGATGGGGAAAGGTGCGACGAGTGCGGCGAGGTGCCGGTGCGTCTGACGGGGGATGTGAATGACAGATGATTAGAATATATTAGAATCCCAAGAGCTGAATGACAGGTGCGAGAGCTCGAATTTAGAAGGACGAACAGAAAGACAGATGACTAGAATGACGATGACCATCTTCGGACCGAGATGTTTTCTTTTTTTCGGAGGGACCGAAGGACAGGGGACTCCCGTGATTTGATCAAGAGATATCAAGAATCTCTTAAGTTTCTGCGCTCTTCCGTGAGCGACCAGTGCTTCAGTTCATTGGCTCTAGCACTACCATGGAGGAAGGTCAAGCGCTACCATGGTTGACGCTACACGCCTATACCATCCTATACCCCTTTCAAGTCATGCAAGGTACCTCCCAAATGTTTGGAGCCAAGCAAGTGCAGGAAAACAGATTCAGTCCAAATGTAGAGCCGTTGCACGACGGTTTCTCCCATGCTGCCAAAGGAGGTGCACAACTTGCTGAGCAAACGAGCTGAACTCGCGCAGAAGCTGCGCCAGAACTTGACCAACCCTGCAATCCGAGATGCTGTTCGACAGCGCTGCAGTTCCATGCCTCACCGAACCTCCGTCCGCTCCGCCGGCTCCGCTCCCGAGCACCGGCTCCGCGGAGGCGCCGCTGGAGGCGCTCGCACCTTGAGCCGAGAGCGCGCGCCGGTGCCGAGGCCCGCGAGCCGCGAGCGCCTTGAGAGGCGCAGCGCCGCGCCCAGTGCTCTCCATCCGAGCCGTGAGCGCGAGCGGGGGCAGATGCAGAAGTCTTCCTCCACTGGGGCTCTTTCATCTGGATCAGCCACTTCAAGGCCATCCTTGCGTGGCAAAGTGCCGGCGCAAGTGAACCCAGAGCCAATTCCAATCCGTGGACGGCGTGGACAAAAGGTGTCTACAGATGCACAGGCCGCTCTTGCTCGAGCTGTTGCTTCGTTGCTCGGAGATGGCAGTTCTGCATCTGCGGTGTCTGCAGTTCAAGCAGCCTCAAGTGCTGGAGGCCCATTGCAGGAGGAGCTGATTAAGGTGAGCAAACAATTGACTCAGCTTGATCGAGAACGACAGCAGCTGGCTGAAAATGGCTTGAGCATGCTCGCTCGATGCTCTTCGCAAGAGAGAAGTGTGGCACCTGACAAGGCTTCAGCACCAAGTGGCCGAGGGACCAAAGAGGAGCCCCTCCTCAGTGAGGGAGAGCCAAGCGAGCATCCTTGGCTGCTGGCAGATGGTCGCCTCGTCACAGCGCGCTTGGAGGGTGAGAACCTGGCACTAAAGCGTGCAGTGATGCAGGCTCGAAGGGAGATTGATGAGTTGCTGAAAGGCAGAGCTGATGCAGAGGCAAGGGTACGGACCTTGAAGGAAGAGAATCATGCGGCCGCTGAGGCGTTACGCCGCTACACCAGTTCTTTGTTGGATCCAAGTTCTGCTGAAGCTGGTGCTGGAGGAGCGTTGAGCCACGGCGGGAGCTTTGCCAGTTTGAACTCCCTGAGTCTGCAGAGCTTGCATTTGGGAGGTCGAAATGGTGACTTTGGAGGCACCGGAGCACTTCCGGGCAGAGCTACTTCGGGTGATTCAGCAGCAGGTGGAGTTGGCAACAGTGGCATCTCTGCGGGGGGTGGAGATAGTGGTAAGGAGCTACAAGCAGAGAAGCAGGCTCGCAACAAGCTCTTACAGACCAGTGATGAGATCACTCGTCGAATGGAGGAACTTTTGTCGCGCAGAGGTAAATCATTGCAGAAGCTCTTGGAGCCCATGGCAGGTCAAGCCCTCTGAACTTTGCTAGAATATGAGATGCTAATGGCTGTTATGGCACTTTCGTTTCACATGGCTTGGATTGTCCAAGAACAGTCCACCAATTCAGAAGAGGGTGGCTGACAGTCCTGTGCCTGTCACGAAATGGCGAGTTGCGGCGGTGTTTCTCTTCAGATGTGAGCAGGTCAGGTCGGGTCAGGTCGCTTCGCGTGCGAGAGCTATTGCTGCATCTTCCTATACATAGTCTAATAGAACAATCCTTGAGACTGCATCTTCATAGCTGTCCTTGACTGATCCTATGATGTCACAGGTCTAGCTACCAGGATGATTCGACTTCCAGCCCTTCCGGAGGTTTGCGGCCGCGGCCGAATGCTCGGGCACCGCCCCCGGTCCACACAGCTCCAGGCACGGATGGAGAGGTCAACCGGTTTGAAGCAGACCGGACAGAGACAGCCAGGCATGCCTAAGCCCTCAAACACTGAGCTTGAATATATGAATATATATATGAATTAATCGGTGTAACTTTAACTATATATATATATGATATACTCTACGTGGCATTTATAGTTATACAAGTGTACATTTATATAAATACATTTATATATTATATATATATAGCCAGGCGGGCGGCACGCAGCCCACGCGTCGGGACCCGCGCCTGCGGTGTCGTCGGCGGCCATCGGCGCCGGCACCGTGACGCGGCCCAAGGCGGGGGGCCCGGCTTGGGACCGGTTCCTTGCTTCGTTGAGACCTCCCTGCAATCAGAGAAAGAAGCAGGGACACTGTCTGGAAGTTTGGTAGAGTTCTTGAAGGGGTCTTTTGGGATCTTTTGGGAGAGGTCGCATTTGGCTGTTTTCAGAAGAGGTCTTCATTTTGATTGGTAGAGTTCTTGAATCGATGAAAACGAAAACTGTCTACCCCTTTGGTAGAGTTCGGGTTTAAGAGGTCCTTTGATTAAAGGGAGGTAAACATCGATGTTTCAGTTGTTTGGTCGTTCTTTGGAGCTTGGGAGATGTGGCAGGGGATGACTATGAAAGGACTTTCATCTCCCAAGATGTGGCCATGATGCGATGTTCCTGCAGCTGTTCCTGGTCGATGTTCCTGGCGTTTGATTTTTCGACCCATCTGAGTATCGCGTTTGAATTTTCCCAAGATGAACTAAGTAAAGGCTTTGTCATATGGAACTTGGGCGTATAAGCAAAAACCTGGAAAGCGTAAGGTTGCGTAAGGGAGTTGCGAGACATGCATGTTGCGTAAGCTTGCCATATGGTTGTATTTTCACCTGCAAAAGGAGCCTTCGCGTTAGCATTTCCCTTGGGAGTATGGTTCTCATGTGTGAAAATGCAGATGCGTAAGACCTGCGCAAGGTCTTCTCCAACATCCGTGGCGTGTCATCTCACATGGTGGTTTGCTTTAAGAAAAGCAAAAGCAGTAGCGTAAGACAGCTATACGACATAGGGGTTGCATCACACGTATTTGGCACAGCTCATCTAAGCTCGGTGCAGAGATGAGTCCCGCCTGAAGAGGACATGTGGTCTCTTTGGTGGAAAAGCCGCCTTAAGCCGTTTTTTTTTTATATATACCTTATAATATACCTTATATATATATGTATTCCTTGCAAAAATGGGCTCCTATTCGTAACATCATAGGGGTTCCCTCTACCCGATGAAAAGTCAGAAACAACGATCAAGGGGTCAATGGGGACACCTCGGGGTGTCTCCTCGTGGCCGGTGTGCGCGAAAAGCGGTTTCAGCTTCGTCCGCTGCCAGGCCCCCAAAGCTCCACCCGTGAGGATGGGAAGGGGAGTTGAAGCCGAGGGTTCAGGGCTTCAGTCTATTTCTACTTCAACTTTCCCTTGGTCAGAAGCAAGGTCGAGCAAAGAACAAAGATAAGGCAGCAGGTTAAGCCAGACTATGAAGACACTGCCAGAAGACATACTGCATCTCCCTCTTTCTCCCTGACATCGAAAAAAGACGAATGATATGCATACATGGGCATGTGCTACAGCAGCTTATTTGCAGTGCAGTGTATATCTCTACATTTTTACTATACCAGCAGTTCCGCCGTGTCGGGATGCTTAATGGAGGAGTGCCTCTGTCACATCATATCCACTATAGATGGGTCTAAAACCGCGCCAACTCCTGGGTGCTGCGTCCTCAGCGCCGCGAAGCGGTCGAGCGATCTGCCGAAGGCCTGAGACCGGCACAGGCGCGTTGCCAAACGCGCGCGTGAGACGGCGCAGCTGACCATCGCCAGCGCCGTCGAGGGGTCCTGTATTGGAAAAAGATGGGTGTCTTGGACCCAGACAGGTCCATACCTAGACCATCCTGTCTGGGTGTGCTGGACAGGGAGATCCCGAAGTAGTGGAGGGTAGCCAGGACACCCAGACAGGATGGTCCTGGTAGTTTGGCCTGAGCTTCCAAAGTTCCTTGATCACTGGTTAAGCACGTGCAGATCATGTACCTTTTTGGTGGTGACATCGGATGTCGGATATGGTCCCAAGAATCAATCGTCGACTGCTAGCTGCTAGAGGATGTCCTACACCCGAGAGACATACCTGGGAGATCCTGGGAGTAATGTAACACATCCAAGAATCAATTGCGGGGAGTCTCATAATTCTAAGATGCTACAAGAAGATATGAATCAGCACTTGCAAGACAAAATCAGAGAACAAACAAGCTCGGCATTGCAGGGAGCGAGTGGTGTCCTTGATTGTGCTCTAGTGCTTTTGACCTCTTCTTCAATATGTTAAATCACCGCACAACATCGAGCATGGGGTGAACCTGACCTGACCCCTTCTCATCCATGAAAAAAGCAAATCACACACCCCAGACATGGATTGCAAAGCCAACCTCTTAAACGTATGGGTTCGGTGTATTCTTCGCGTCTCCTACCCCGTCGGGTCTTCGCTCTCACAGGTGCACCGGAGCCCGCTCCACCACCAAGGACGGGAGATGTCGGGGCTCCGCAGACCCGGAGGTTTTTTGAGGTCGCTGAGGTAGGTCATCGGTTGACGATTTCCACCGGTTTTGGACGTTTACGGTTTCTTTTTTCTGCACTTGGCCACCCCAAATCGAATATAAAGAACGGTTGGTTTCTTCCTGTAACACACCGTCGCACCTCAAATCCACAAAAAAGACTTCACAAGTTCGTATGGCCACACTTGCAGAGATTCCATCAGGATTGCTTTCCACCACTTCTGTTGTGTTTGAAGAGTCCACTTCTGTTGTTCGGTTCATCCCCTTAACAGGTCACCCTGGACGGCTCATCATGGGCAGTCATGGGGTCGGCTCGACGCTTCGAAGCCCGTCGTGAGGTCACCGGGGTCGGCGGCGGCCGAGAGCTCCGCCAGGATCGGCACCAGCACCGTCGCGCGGCCGAGAGCTCCGCCCAGTGGAGAAAAGACAGGCGGGAGCTCCGGGTGTTGAAGATGGACCCGCGCTGTCCTATTGATGATATGGAATTGGTGGCGATGACTTTGATGAAGAAATGATGATATGACTTTGATTGTGATTTTCATTTTGCGGTTCACTTTCAAGCAGAGGTGTCAACTCTCCAGCCTCAGGCACGCAGAGGTGTCAACCAGATCCCAATGAAGATCCATCCGTGAAATCGGGGGTTCTAATCACATGCTCCACCAGTCGGCCCAGCTGCACTTGGTGGCACCTGCTCCACATTGAAGCTCCTGAGTGGAGAAGCACTGAAGCATCGCAGCCCAGTTCAGGCACCGCAGGCGGTGCAAAGACGGCCAGTGCAGGCACCGCGTCAGAAGCATTCCCATCCCGTGCCGGGTTTTGGGTGTGACAGTGTGACGTGGTTTTGGGTGCGATGACCAGCAAACAAAGTCTCAGTTCGCCAAGCAAAGACCAACAAACACGCTTGGGCTTCTAGAAAGGACTAAGCACTTTTTTGGGCCCTGGTCCATGCCTGGCAAACAGGCTTCAAGGTGTTGATTTGTCCAAATTCTTCAGCGTGGCCAAGAGCTAGGAGACTTGGGCGATTCTTGTCAACGAACACAAGTCCATAGACGTTGGGGGATCTACTGGTTTCAAGATGGTGACAGACATGATGTTGGTGACAGACAGAATTCGGTAGATGCTGGAACCTGGTAGATGCTGGGATGCTCAACAAGGAGCATTTGACGGTACCTTACTGTATCAGTGAGACAGGGGAAACGGTTGGATCGGCCTGTGCCTTGCGCTTGTGTTGACTTCTTGGATCTCTTTGAAGATCATAGGTGTGATGCCACCGACTCCTGCCGCTTGCTTCCCAGCTAGATCAGATTGCTTGACTACTCCTCAGCCTAGCCAACAAGCCACAAGAAGACTAGACAACCACACCGCCTGAGCACTGATACTAGGATGGCTGAGTGTCGGCTTGTGGTCGCCCTCATTGCTTTGCTCATTGTAGGGGAAATCTGATGACATCTCACTCAGCAAGACTGTTCACCATTCCTTTTCTTTGGGTTTTGAACATGTGGTCACCCAGTCTTGCATTGCAGAATCTGGAAGTGGGGGCTGCATAGTGACCCCCCCATCATGTAAGAGATAGTAAGAGGCGTTTGCCAAGTAGTCGGGGTAAGCAAAAGCTCAAGAAAGGAAAACGAGGGAAACAACGACAACGATATGTTTTGACAGGGACATGTGGATTGAGGGATGATTGCTGGAAAAATGTACTTCTTGATTTGGAGCTGGTTCATACATCCGCTGGCATGATAGGAATCAAGGTTCTCTTTGCTTCTCCTTTGCTGACGCTAACGCTTCTGGCCCAATAACAACAACAAACTCGGTAAGGAGATGTAGCAAGATCCTCTTAGGTCTTCTCAGCCCCATTCCCACTTATTCTTCACAGTTCTTCTTCAACAAAAGAATACCTCATCCGACGGTGGAGACTGAAAGACACGTGCGCAATGCTTCTTCAGCTTCGGAAGAGAACCTATACAAGTAGTTCCCGGGCAAGCCGGCGGCGGAAGTTTCCTATAAGAAGAAATTGACCTATAGGAGTGTCCACGTTCTCTCCAACATGCGCGTCCTCCAGTCAAACGCACGCGCTCCGGACTTTTGACCCACGGGATTCCACGTGTGTAAGGTGTGTGCCCCCTGCAGGATCAGCAGCTCACAACAGCATACTGGGTTGCATCTTTGCCACGACAAGAGGGGTGTATGATGAGTAGTGTATGATGAGTAGTGTATGATGAGTGGTGT